CAGAGGTTTAGCTGCCTCTCCTCCTCCTTATTCTACAGTCATTGTTCCCTCCTTGCTTCTCCTTCTCACCACAGAAAACAGAGCAGGAGGAAGATTATGAAAGCAGAAATCCCCTCGGACAACTGTGATGAAGGATGAAAGACTACTGCTTAAAAAGTATGGCTGGAATAATTCCCACGTGCAGGAAAAGGTCAGTGAGAGTGAATGCCAGGGGAGAGCTTGTCCACAGGGATTGGTAATTTTCAGTGACATAAGACTTCCCAAGAGTATGCAGCAAAAGGGAAAGTGCCTTGCAAACAAGCAGCTCATTCTCTTTAGAGCTAAGGCCAACTTGGCAAGTTTGGAGAGCACAAACAGGGCTAAAAAAAAATTGTTTGATTACATTACTACTAGAAGCAGGCCACATGAGTGCTTAGCCTCTCAGGGGTGAACATCAGGCATCTAAATCTTCAAATAGTCGTGGTTAAAAGTCATCAAATCAAGTTTCTGCAGCAGTGACTTTACAATCTAAAAAGGAAGAATTTTCCAAACATATTAGAAGGCTAAATCTAAGAGTTTAAGCCTTCATAATAAATATATGGAAGAAGAATTCTTAGGAATTGTTGAGTTAGGCTGCTTCATCTATCACTGATACTACTTTAGCTAATGTAGCATGTAGTGGCTCAACTGATACCAGCGTGTTCCACTCCTTTGCACTGGATTGAACCAGAGTTATGTGTGTGTGCCACTAGTCCTGTGTAATTCAATACAGCAGAGATTCTGCCAACATTTACTAGAGACAGAAGTCCCTTCCTTATCATTTCTGCATTGCATTAGTTGTCAGCACCACCACAATGAAGTGCTAAGTGATGGTGACAGACAACAGTGAGAGACAAACTGATTTTTTAACTGATGATCCTTAGAGTGCTTTATCTCTGTGTATTCCCTTTGGGTACTTGTTTCTTATTGGTTCTGTAGAACCTGGGCATCTACTCTAACTTAGAAGTGAAGGCTAGATACTATATATATCACATATATGTCAAAACCAAAAGGAAAAGGGAATAACATCCAGAGGACAATTCATGACTTTTTTCTGGACAACAGGGGTAGTCAAGAACAAAACTAGTGTAGATACCCAAGCTATAGACAGCTGACGTAGAAAGTCATCTAACTTCTAGGTGTCTAAGTGAAATATATGCCCTATTTTGGCTGCAGATTACTTGGGGTTTCACAGCTGGTGCCACACTTTACAGTGCACTTTTTGGTCAGTGTTTTGGTCGGCTGTCTGTTTTCTTTCAGAATACTGCATCATAGAGTAAACTCGTTAGTTCCATTTCCCTCAAGACTATGGGGGGAGAAAGACTGTAATGTATGGAAAGTCAAGTTAAAATCTTCCTTCTGGGGACTTTAAAATAATGGGGCAAGAGTATTTCCAAGGAAATCCAGTGAACAGAAGGCAATGTGTCTATAATAAAACAGTTACTGGAAAGAACAAGAAAGCCCATAGATTTTCTGTTGAAGTTGGAACCCTTTAACCCTCTTTTGCCTTGGGTTGAATCTGTATCTTGCAAGAAGGTGTTTTTTTTTTCATTTTTTTTCTTGATACTGATGCCTCAGAGCTTTTTGGATTTTTTAATACCTACCCCATTCACAGACAGGAAGAAATCAACAAACCCAAACAAACTATATGGAAGGAAAAATCCCCAAAATTCTTGAAAAGATTGAGCTGTTAAGGAGAAGCCTTGAGCTGGGTTGGCTGGTTTTTCAGCTGCTTTATTAAGTAAACTGTGAAGGCCTCTGTCTGTGGAGACAGACGAAAGGCTTAAGTTTATGTGGGATCTAGTTAACCCTACTGTGCTGAGCATAGATCTGGCATGGACACCAATTCCATGTTGAGATTCCTTGGGCAGTAGGGCATTCAATTATTTCCCACCTTAATTCCCTTTTTACAATTGCTCTGTATCTGCTCTTTTAATGGGACAATTTCACAGATCTGTTATTATATAGCTGCGTTATAGGTGCAGTATTTCCTTGGGGTAGTCAGTAACTTCCAGCCCAGGAGGGAGACATCATTTTGAGGTAGGACAGGCTTTGAGGCAAGGAACGGTCCCTGGAAAATCACTGGTGTTCACTGCTCACAATGGGAAAACAGAGGACATCTCATTTTTACTACGGCTGAAACTGCAGACACATAAAAATGCTGCAAGGCTGTTTGATGGTATAGTCCTCCACACCTGGAAACTGCCAGGGCTCAGTTACGAGCCATTTCACAACCTTCAAGGCTGTACATATATAGTATATAGCTACTCTATTCCAAGTATTCTGTGGAGTTCAGCTTGACCAGCTGCTTCATATCTGAAATCATTTGCAGACAAAAGAGAAATGTCATGTCTTAGCTCCAGTATGGATTCATGCTGAAAATCTGCTGAGGCATAGATATTTTAGACCATATTAGCTGGAAGCTTTTCCATGAAACAAATCACTGGTCTTCAATTTCTATGAAAATAATCAGGGATTGGCTTTTTAACTATTTTTTGTGTAGCACATTGGACTTACTTTCTCTGCAGGTACTCTGTACAACCTCTTGACAATATAGTTGATTTCCAATCACTACAGTAAACTCCTTTAAGGTCATATAATATGACAATTCCTCCCTGAATACTGGTGAAGCTGAATCTATGATCATATTCTTATACAAGGGAACTGTTTTACTTAGCTTTTTATTTGTCCCAAAAGAAGTAATTGCAAATACCTTTTCCTCTACAGTGGTGTATGGAGGATGACGCTCATGATGAAGGAAAATCATAAAGTATTGGGTCTGGAATCTGTATTTGAATCAGGGGTCACTGGTGATTTACACTTTGGATGAAATCTCATAATAATTTAGAGGGCAAGATGGGGCTTAATGTCATTTCTATAAATGAAAATCATAGAAAGTACTCATATTTGTAGATGAGGTAAGCAGCTTTTAAAAACATCCCCCTAAAATAAAAATCTTGAGAGCTGTAGTTTCAGTGATTCGGCTAATGACAACTGTGGCTAGTTTAGCTGAAGGCTCAGAGAAACAAGTCGCTGATGGTTTTGCTGTGTGTCACTCAAGCTGGGATAACTCTCTCTGTGAGCAAACTGGACTATTTGATGTGAATGCTGCTCTCCCTCAGCAGGCTCAGCTGAGGACCCTCAGGAGGGATCTGCCACAGGGTGGGAGCAGACACACAACCAGGTACTGAGGCTCCACTCACACCAGATCTTTCTTGTGCCTGAACCCTAAGCTGCACTCAAATCACAACACCTTTCTCAGAGCACCCCAGGCTGAACATCTCCTGTTTCGAGATGACAGTAATTACACAACATGAAGGATCCCTGAGTGGCTGATTTGCTTGCATTGTATCATGGTTTCAGATTCATCAAAAAGGGAAAACAGAAGAAAAAGCTATAGTTGAAAAATTTCTTAATTTTTAAAGAAAAATGTGGTGGTGTTTGAAGGGAAACTCCTGATAAAAACCCTATGAAAATCAGTGGGGCTCTCCACAGATTTCTGAGATTTTTGGCTCTTAAAATAACAGCAGTGGCGATACCTTTGAGTAGCAGGCACATTCAGACCAGCTACCCATTTACTGATGGTTGTCCCTTAAGGGTAACTGGTTAACTCCCATCTCAGGGAAAATATCACCCTCTCTAAGGTCACCTGTGCATTCTCACAGGAGGATTCAACCTTGAGTTATACTTTATCTCCTTTCTGTACTGCATTACCTTGTAAAAAATAGGCAGCAATGCCTCTGTAAACAAAACCTGGTGCCTTGCTCTCTCTGCCTCTGTGGTACATTCTGACAAGTGATAATGCATTGAATGCATTAACAAGCATTATAAGCTCATTTTTGGTAGTTAAAATTTGTTGCAATTTGGATCATTAAGCAATTCTCCACTTAGCATTGTCTTAAAAGGAAACACATTAAAAGGATATCAAAATTGCTAATATCACATTTGTTATCTGAAAATACTGGTTGGCATTGGAGACAGAACTATTGGATTTTGGCAAATTAATCTCACAACTAACAGTGAAAGCCACATGTTTACTGAGAAATTTGTTTTACAACTTGATTTATAGAAGTAAATTTTTCTAAAAATTTCAAGCTTGCAATGTTGGATAAATGCAGAACATAAAGTCTTGCAGGGTAAGGGCAACTTTCCCCCACCCAGGATCCTATTTTAATGGAAGAGTATATTTCCACAGCTTTGAGAAGGCTGTTTTCCCAACTTTCAGATGTTTTAAGTACATATCTGTGGGGTGGGAGTGGATGACCATAGCTTCCAGGGGATATTTCTTCTATGCATTTCTCCAGTTTGAAGCCATAAAATTTTAGCGCCCACTAAAACTTATCCTGCAGCAAAGAGATCCATAATTTTGAGCTGTGTGAAGTATATTCCTTGCTTTGTCTTAAACCAGCTTCCTGTTAAGAAACTATAAACACCTCCTAGTCTGTGTTTTGCCAAAGGCAAACCTTTCATATGTCACACAAGATTTAATAAGATCTCTCTCATGCAGCACCTCCTTCCCCACATTCATCTCTTTTCCAGACTTGGCACCACACTGATATACTCCTTTTTCTACACCATCATAAAAGTACTGAAATCCTGTGCAAATACCCATGTGAGGGGAAGTTCAGACATAAAAAATACTGAATATGGAACACATCCATAAAACTTTATAAATGTAGTAAACAAATGAACACATTTTCTTTGCTCCCATGTGAAAAATTAGCCATATCTTATGAGTAAGATGAATATGAACATGCTGTAGAAATATTAAATAGTTCACTGTGACTCTCTTCTGGCTATCTGTCTTGTAGCTACTGTGGCTGCCTAGTTGTGGGGACTAAATCATGGGCATCAGTGTGATCCCATGTGAATTGTGGGGTAAGATGATTTTGGTCACAGTGAGGACTACGCTCACAGTTTTACAACATGTGCAAGACACACAGTCTGGTGGCTGTCATTGTACATCAGTGACTTATCTGATTCTCCAGAGGCCATAGGCTATGGGCCCTGACTTGGGTTGGGGTCTTCCTCGGTCCTCATCTCACAGAGCCTGAAGGAGCCTTCCTGGTCACATCAGGAGCTGCACAGACTTTTCTTTCAATGGACTACTCCACTGCACCTTTTCATGGAATCATAGATTCATCAAGGTTGGAAGAGATCTTCAAAATCACCAAGTCCAGCTCTCAACCCAACACTATCATTGTAAACCTTAAACTACTAAACCATATCAGCCACTGCCAGATCCAGATGCCTCTAAAACACCTCCAGGGTGTTTTTGCTAGCTGTCATTTTACAGACTAGTCTGCCTTTGAGATTCTCACTCTCCTGAGGTACCTATTCTCAAGAGATTTCTCTTCCAGCAGATCAAGAACAAGAAAGCAGATACTCCTTTCTCTCTGAGACAAGACCTTGGAATGTCAAATGGATTCGACCTTGATTCTCTTCAGTATGAATTAAAAATAGGAAACCAAAGTGTGGAATGAATGGACTTGAAATTTCAGTGAGAGCACATCCCTTATAGTTGTGTATTTTGCACTTAAATACCAACCAATGACTTGCAGCCACTTCTGGGACAGGGAGTGAGCCCCACTCAGCGACCTGCTGAGCCAGGCCAGGATGGACAGGTGGAATAGAAAGTCAGAACAGCAACAATAGGACAAACCCTCATCACAGAAAACTGTGAGGTGCTGCAGAACTTTTTACAGCAGCACAGAGAACTTTAAACCTTGTTGAGCCTGAGCATCTTTCAGTCAGTGAACATTTAAGCTACATGATATTTGACATTGCTTTCTCTAAACATGTAAACAATCACACAGATGCATTTGAGGCTGAAGCCTAAAATTCTGAGGGGTTTAGACCCGATGTTCAACTCTATGAACCATTGCCTCCTGTTATGGAAACTGCAGAATTTAATTTTTTTATACTTTCAGCAACTCCACAAAGACAAACAAGAAACTTCCTGCTTTTTACACTTGCCATAAAAAGGAAAGAGGGTCAGGAAAATTCCCATCCTTGAGTATTAAAGAAACCCAAAATGAACTTGAAGCACAATTTTGAACATCCCAGGGCAACTCTTCTGCAAATCCCACCTCTGTACATGGATAATTCTCTGGTGTTCATTACTGCCTTACATGTTTTTATAGGATATGGTCTCTGGATGTACAGATTTCAACCATGGGTCAAAGCAAATATTGTATAAAACCCTGTAGATTAAACAACTCTGATTTAATCTGAAGGCATCTCAAGTCTTGCTGAGCAGCTGAAGAACTGAATATCTGGCCAGAAGGGCCCAGATGGAGTTGACTGTCTCAAGACTACACCCTTGACTACAGTCATCATGTGGACCATGAAGAATGACAGCCAGTAAGCACATTACCCACATCATTCAACTGGGAAGATCTTTGATTCAGTGCTTTATGAAGAAGATGAAGAAGTTTGCATCTAATACCCATCAGAGAAGAAAAAAATTCCCCAAAGAGATTTTAGAAGAAAAGATCTCCATTCAAACTTTTTGAGCAGAAAGTAGGCCTTTTTTACCTCGGGGAAATAAATGAGTAAGTGAAACTTTTTCGGCTTTCTTTAGTTATAGAACAATTCCTTAAGAGGTAAAAAGCTTGAAAATAGTCAGAAAATGATGGACAAGATGCTTTCTCTTTGAAAGTAACATCGTCACTTTTAAGTAACACAAATGGAGGGAATGCTACTTTGAAAGTGAAAATTAGCACTTAGCTGTGAAGACACTACTCTTTATTCTCTGTCAAAACTTTTACAATGATTTTTAAGTGGAAAAAATGGTGAAAAAATGATCTTTTGCAAATGAGAGTATTAAAATAGTGTTTTGAGCAAGGAAGAAAACTACTTTTTCCTATGAAAACCCATTTCAGCAGGTCATTATTACACCTCTTACTATTTTGAATTTGTCAAAAGGGGAATTAATTCACTTTGCAGTATTAATACCCACCACTGCAGATCATTTTCCTTCTGAAAAAAATGCACTAAACTTTGGACTAAAGTCTCTGCTTTTTTCATGGCTCAGCACCAGAGAGGCATAAAGGCAAAACTGGCCAAAGACCCAACTCAAAGTCCATTAAAAATCAATGAAAAGCTTTGCAATGGACTTCTAGTGAGGGCTACCTCCCCACTGACTATAAATGAAATTAATCTGTCAGGCAGAAATAATACAGTGATATAATTAACTTGCTTAGAATACAATCACTTTAACTTTCATTAAAAGTGATGAGTTTCTTTCAATTACATTGCCAAGATGCATTTTGTTGTTGTTTGCTTGTTTGCTTTTGAAAAAAAAAAAAAGAAATAAATCCTTTTTTTAGTTAATTTCCCTCTGGACTGGGGGATGTTGCTGTAATGAAGTCCGACTTCCAGGGTCATACTTGAGAATGTAGTGACAAATAGGGACATCTGTAGAACAGGGAAATAACATCTATTTTCTTACTGGAGCCAGAAACATGCACATTTCACCCAAAAGTTAATGAGAACTCAATGCAATATTGATACTGCCTGAACAGCAATTTGAGTAGTAAGATGGTATTACAAAAAAGATTACACAAGTTTTCCAAGCAGAGATGAGCTGGAGAGGGGAAAACATGGACACAGAGTTGGGAGAGACCACGACTTCGGGCCTCTTTGTTCTGAAAACTCCCTGACAGGCTGTTGTCCTGTTACCTCCAGATTTCCTTGGGCTTTGGAAACTCGATAGTTTTCTCAGTGCCATGGTTGAATTGTGCCTTCTCTTGGGGCAAGAACTAGAAATAAGCAGTGACTACCTCGTCTGCTGCAGCCCCTCCCTTCTCACTCAGATCACTTCTGACTGTCTTCTTGGGACTTCGTTCCAGTCTGAATCTCTCATCTGTGCAGGATGACAGGGAGGTGGGGAGGTTTGCTCTTCTCCCAAGTACACGACGCTTCTCGCCTGCACATCTTAATGGCAATTACAGAGGAGAGCTGCACCAAGCCACAGAGAGGGAAAGAAAGCATTAAATAAAGATGAGATTGTATCAAGCAGAGCTATGAGAAACTTGGCAGGTTTGATTCCCATAGGTTCCTAAGAGTATCTTCAGCTGCGATTCACCGAACAGCTGCCAAAGACAGTAGTCACAGGGGCAGTTTCAGCCCGGGCTACAGAGGAGGAGAGGCCAACTAGAGTGTGAATTTTCATTGCATTCACTCCCTGCCCCATTTTTATGCACATTAAGGTTTATATTCCTCAACCCTTTTTTTTAGTTTTCAATCTCTTCCCTGAAAATATCAAAAGAAAGTCCACCATTTTCAATAGTCAGAAATAAAATATAGTCAAACTTTCAAAGAGCCTTAAGAAGGACTGCTTTTGACCTCATAAAATAACAATAGATTTTTTTTATTCTTTGAAAAATCTAAGGCAGAAGATGCTTTAAGGTATGAAAGTTACAGTGCTCAGTCTCAGAAAAGCCCCAGTACATTGTCAGCCTATATTGTGGTACTAACACTTTGAAAAAGGGTCAGATGCATCTTTAAGCATAAACATAGGGCTAAATAAGTTAAGCTCTTGTAAAAGAGTCAGAAGACTGAAGAGTGAGAGGAGGAATTTTGTTTGTGTTGTTCTGGAAGAATTTAGAGAAATGGAGCAAGGGAGGAAAAAAGTGCATGTATGCATTTTTAATCTGGGCAAACCTGCTCTGTTTTCACTTTTAAAAACATTTATTTTAATATTAAAATCTGCCTTAATTTTTAATGGGGTAAAAATGCCATTTAGATGGCAAAGAAACAAATAGGAAAAGTTCCAGTTTGAGAAAGTTGACATAGGATGTGATCATGCCCCTGCCAATTGTTCCTTCCTGCCCCTTCCTCACCCCCAAAACACACCACATGACATGTTCAACAAAACACCTTCAGTTGCTCTGGAAACCCATTTTTAGGTGAAATTTCTATTCATCTGAGAGGGTTTGCCTGGGTCCCCTAAAGCAGATATTGGATGTGCAGTTCTGCTTTGTTCTTCCACGCAGCAAGCTCCCTGTGCCATGGACAAGTCCTCCACTGTGTTCCTAGGGCTTTATCATCCCTTCAGAAGGAAAAGTTAGTGTCCTTTGCTTTGGGAAGGTGTTGCTTTGTGTGGTACCAGCACAGTGCTGAGCTAACACAGCACTTCCAAAATAAAAGCACCAGGCATTTAGCATTAGTCCATTTTTGTTGGTGTGAAAGAGCAGGACAGATATTAGTACTGGGAGAAAAGAGTAGGATATCTTTCCCTAAAAACATCAGGAAATCTTTGCAGATTTCACTTTTCAGCCTCCCCCTGATTTTTGCAGGACGCATCACTTACAGGTCCAATTTAAATCGCTCCTTGCTCTGTTTCTTGGCTTTCTGGGTCCTTGCTTTGAATCCAACTCAGAAGGCAGCACTTATTCAGGTATGCTATTTTGCAGTGACCTCTACTAAAAATGGGATAATAAGATGAGCTGGCAGAAGTGAGCAGAAGCTGCAGCAAGTGGGCAATAACATTCTTCTGCCCTGGTGGATACTTGTAAGCAGGGTAAAAGATACAGTTGACCTTTTAAACTCTGATTTAGGTCTCTTCTTCTCAAGATTCCCTCAGGATATCTTTCCTCATTCTGTGCAATCTTTAATGTATGCAATGGTTGGCAAGGAAATGCCTTGTTAAATCTGGCTTAGTATTCAGCAAATATCCAAAGGGCTGAATGCTACTCTAATTAAAACCTATTTGCCTCAAACTTCCTCTTTATGCATCAGCTTTCCTCTGTGAGTGCTCTTTATCCCTTGGCATTATGTTCGATGTTATCCCACCCCCTTCCTCCTGCAGCCGGTGGATTTGTTACCAGCTCCATAGGTCAGCATGAATTTTGCAGGGAGCAGAAGGACTTTGGACTCTGAACTCCCTGGAATGAGAGGCTCAGTAAACACAGGGCTTTTCACTGCTGAGCTCAGAGTCTCAAGTGCAAACAGCACTGGGCTTACAGCTTGGGGCAAGGTAACCTGAGGATGAGGAGGGAAATACGCTATCATTATTATTCTCCGGGGCAGAGCAGGTCTCTACCGGCAGAGCTGTGAAGAGAAGGTGCTCAGGGCTATGAAGCCACTTCATATGAAATATGCTAGTGAGATTGGCCAGTTTTTGTTTCTGGACACATTTGGTGGTTAAATATACAAGACAGGCATGCCTGGGTCCCCTAGAGACAGCAAATCCTACACAGGGCTCTGTGTGTTTGCTCTGAGTACAGCTCGAATTCATATGGGATCACTGTCTTTTCTGAAATCCATTTACATCTGCAGTGATTGAATTTGTATCTTTATTGGAATACCTTTGAAAAAGCCCAAGCAATGCTCTTTCCCCAATGGTCGAGAGAAGGGAAAGCTGGCGCCATGGCCTGCCATGATGGTAGAGATATTATCCTCCCACCTCTCTGGCATCTTCTTCTGATCCTTTTTTTTTCCTCATGCTTTCATGAAGAAGTGGAAGGGGCAGAGATCACGTTTACATAAAGTACCTGGCATGGGGTGGTACAGATGAATTTGATTTTTCAGCACTGCAGCCACCTGCCCTGTCGCAATGTATAATTAAGGGCATGAACAACATCAGGAGCTCTCTC